ACGGTTCAAGGCAAGGCTAGTGGCAAAAGGGTATACGCAGAGAGAAGGAATTGACTATAAGCAAACCTTTTCTCCGGTGTCAACCAAGGATTCTTTAAGAATCATTATGGCATTAGTAGCTCATTACGACCTAGAACTACACCAAATGGATGTTAAAACGGCATTTCTAAATGGTGACCTGAAAGAAAACGTTTACATGGCTCAGCCGGAAGGTTTTGTTGTGGAAGGGAAGGAACATTTAGCATGTCGTCTAAAAAATCAATTTATGGCTTGAAGCAAGCTTCAAGAGAGTGGTACCTCAAGTTTGATAAAATTATCAAAACTTTTGGTTTCACCGAAAACATTGTGGACAACTGCATATACGTTAAGTTTAAAGGTAGTAGGTTCACATTTTTAGTCCTATACGTTGATGACATATTGTTGGCATGTAGCGATAAGGATACGCTGCATGAGACCAAGAATTTTCTATCATCCAGTTTTGATATGAAAGATCTTGGTGAAGCCTCGTATGTCCTCGGCATCGAGATTCACCGAGATAGGTCCAGAGAAACGTTAGGACTATCTCAAAACGCATACTTTGAGAGAGTACTGAAAAAATTCAATATGCATAACTGCTCACCCTCACCTGCTCCTATAGTTAAGGGCGATAAGTTTGGGACATTTCAATGTCCGAGGAACCAGTGTGAAGCTGATCAGATGAAGTCGGTTCCTTATGCTTCAGCTGTCGAAAGTATCATGTATGCTCAAGTGTGTACGCGCCCAGATTTATGTTTTATAACCGGGATGCTTGGCAGATACCAATCAAATCTAGGACCGGACCACTGGAAGGCCGCAAAGAAAGTCTTGCGTTATATGCAAGGGACTAAGGATTTCATGCTTACATATAAAAAACTGATAACCTAGAAATTGTTGGTTATTCAGACTCTGATTTTGCCGGGTGTGTGGATAGTAAGAGATCCACGTCAGGTTATATCGTGGAAAAGCTCCAAACAAACGTTAACTGTTGGATCTACGATGCAAGCAGAATTTGTAGCATGTTATGAGGCCACCGGGCAGGCTGTATGGCTGAAGAATTTTATTCCCGGACTTAAAGTGGTTGACAGCATATCTAAACCAATTTTATTGTACTGTGATAATGAACCCGCAGTTTGCTATACGAGTAACAACAGGTCAAGTAGTGCTGCCAGACACATTGACATAAAGTATCGTGTTGTGAAAGATAGAATCCAGGATCAAACAATTGACGTTAAACATATAAGAACGAAGCATATGCTTGCGGATTTGCTAACAAAAGGCTTACCACCCAGTATTTTTGTGAGCATGTTGCCGGCATGGGATTACTGGAAGCCTTGTGATTCTGGAATAAGAGGACCATTTATATAAACCACTCCCCAATTACCAAAATGTTTTCCATTTTGAAATAGGCGGGTGTGCTATAAGTGTTGAGGTTCTATGTCGTTTTGAGTTGTTGTAACACCTCACTTTGGTACATCATTCCTATGTAGAATGGGCAAATAAAGTTAAGCCTAACGATCAAGGGGGAGAATGTTGGTTTTGATCTGACGGCTTAACAGGCCAGTTAGATCTATTAGTCTAACAGAAAAAAAGGGAAAAGATAATGATAATGAAAAGGCCCCACGCACCAACGTACGTGGGCTTTTTATCCCAACTAAGGCGCCCTGATCGGGGGCATCCAAACCAACTGATGGTTTAGGTCCCCTGTCACCAGCGCTAGATAAAAGGGGGTACGGGAGAGGGTTGGCAGCCTGCGCGATCACAATTCTCGTACGGTTTCACTCCCCTCCCGATATTCTCTCACCCCATCCGATCAGGGGGAGCGCTGCAGCGACGGGAAGACCTACTCCAGCCGCCACTGCCGTCCCTGGCCAGTCCCGGTGGCGTCCTGAAGGAATCAGGACATCGAGGAGAACCTCTGCTTCGACTACATCACCCCTGCATCACGCCTGCACCGAGCAGGCGATCATGTCGACTCCCGTGACGTGTAAAGGATCTCTAAACCCTCTCTGTTCATGTTTATTAAGTGATCTAGATGTAATCTGTTTCTGCTAATGGCATCCCATAGATGCATAATTACTCCAACACACACACACGTATGAGGCAAATTCCGTTGGGTTCACTTGAACCCAACGCTTATACGGTGGCTCCGCCGCTGGAGGTACTGATATTTTTCTTTATTGTTTTACTGATGACAACAGGGTTCTGGACTAAGTTTCTGAAAACATTATACCCCATCTCGTTCATTCTAAAATCAGTTTTGACAGACCGTTAAAACTTTTGTTTGTATTTTGGAAATTTTAAATTTCAGACCATTGGATATTAGGAAACAATTCGACAATTTATCATTGGACGCATTTAGCGGGCGCACGGCCGCCCGGGATGCTTAGCCAGTGGCCCGTCATTTTAGGTAATTTTTTGTCTCCCTTTTTAATTAAAATAGTCATCTAGTAGTCCTTTTTCCTACTATGTATTAAATGCTAGCATATGCATCTTCTTCTGTGCATGCATATGCATGTGCATGTGTGTGTTTGCATTTATTTTATGATTTTAAAATTTTAAAAAGGCATAACTTTTAATCTGTGTGTCGAAATTCAAATCTGTTTTCACCATTGAAGCCTTCATGATGTGCTCTTCAAAAGTATATCCCACATGAGAATGTTTTGACAAACTAATCTTCCTGCCAATTAAACATCAATATATGTGCAACTAGACTACATACCGCGCCAACTGGGCATAGGTGTATGACAATAGTCCTTATACCAACTAAACAACAATGTGTGTGCAACTAGACTACATTGTCGCGCCAACTAAGCATATATGTGTGTCAATAATTCTGCCAACTAAACATCAATGTGTGTGCGACTAGACTACATTGCCACGTCAATTGCGCATATGTCTGTGCAACTAGTGTCCTGCCAACTAAACATCAGTATGTGTGCAACTAGACTAAATTACAAGCCAACTGAGCATATGTGTGTGCAACTAGTCCTTCTACCAACTAAATATCAATGTGTGTGCAACTAGAATACATTAAAAGTAGGGACAAAACTTGCAATCCACTACGTACTATATAGTTGGTCGGGGTAATAAACTAGTTGCACATCAAATTGTTATGGTTGGTAGGTTGCAACCTCATATGAAGTTATATCATTTAGCTCCAAAGTTGGTTTAAAAAAAAGTTGTACCATATAATACTAAAGTTGCACAATGCAGTACTTTAGTTGCATCATATAGCATCAAAGTTCGCATCAAAAAAATTCATTAAAACATACCCATACGGGATCTAGTTTCGAAGATCTCGTCGCGGTGAATCCAACGATGAAAACGGATCTGAATTCCGACATGTAGTTTAAGAGATATGACTTTTTAAAAATTTAAGAGGCCAAAATAAATGTGTATGAATCTGTTTCCCAGACCAATCTGTACATATTTAATGCTAACAATAATATCCACTAGCTGACGAAAAAACATACATGTGAGCCGGCCGCCCGTTCCTACGAAATAGTGCGCGTGCACTTTGAGGCCTCTTTTGGTTCATAGGATAGGATTATCGTAGGAATAGGAATCTTGTAGGAAATGAGATGACATGTATCTCAAATCCTATGAGTAGGAATAGGAAACAAGATGTCATTTGGTTGACACCAAAAAAAAAATTCCATTGAGTCTAGGCTCATTTTTATTTTTCTATGAAATGTGGAGGATAGGAACCAATCCTATGTAGGAATAGGAATTCATTCCTATGAACCAAAGGGCTCTAAAGGAAAAAATCCTATAAGAATCCTATCCTTTAGAATTCCTATGAAATTCCTCCAAATCAAAGGAGGCCTGAAGGTTTTAGATTTATCATTACTATTTTTCTTAGCTTGTGCACATGTTTCCACTATGGTTTTTTATTCGCAAGGATATAAATTTCACTAGTTACTGCATTCTGTAGACGTATATTACTGATGACTTCCTATATCTGTTTCAGGAGGCGAGCTAACTGTGCTCTATAATCAATCTTCAGGTACGAATCCCATGCGAATTCGAAATTTTGAGAGAAAATGTTTCTGTGTACAGCACGTATGCATACCTAGTTAACTGATCTGTTGCTCACTTATGTATAATAACCGCGCTTACATTATGTGACTAAAATTTTACAGGTTAGCCAGGGCTGCGTGGGTGAGTCCTGCTCTTCCTCCGGAGGCAATGCCATCAGCAAGCTACAGGAGTAAATAAAAATTATGAGGTTATCATCTCAGGCTAATCCAATAATCGAATTTGGTTGTAATCAGCCTCCATGCCTTCGTTTTGTTCACTACACTTTCTGTGGTAGCTACGCAGTTGTATTATTTTAGTTGTGGCAATGTTTAGTCATCAACCAATGGGCCAAACAGGCTCTTAGTATCTCCTTGCCTGTGTAAAGTATGGTGTTCTATTTATTTCTCTTCTATGCTTTCCAAAACTTTCTTTGCACGAATCCTGAAACATGTGTCAGTAATCAGCGAGAAGGAATGTGAAATTCTCATTTCTTTCATGGCAGAAGATTCCCTAGAATTTTATCAATAGCTTTACTCGCAAATTTGTGCATGTATACAAATTTGAAATCGATGGCACGCCTCGGCTAAGTGGCCCAATAACTGATGGCTTTTAGTTAGAAGAAATTTGTTCATGGATTAATTAATTTGGATGTAAGTTCAAATTAAATACTATCACTGTTCTCTGCCTTAACCTTGGCCTCAGAGACACGCTTCAGCCTGAGCATATACACTCGAGAGCTTCAGGTGTGTTTTATCTTGCTGAGTCTTCAGGTTTATACACTTGAGATTTAATGCTAACGAAGGATTATATGGAAGAACAACAAAAGTTCACCAACCCAAATACTTACAAGACACAAGCTAAACACCTCCAGCAAGCTAAATCTAGCTTCAACACTATAACAACTTCTCACTGCGTGCCGGGGATGTTCGCAAGATCATCTCAGCAGAATACCGCCATCGTAGTCACCTGTAGTCGGTCGAAGAAGACCTTGGTTTACCATTGTTCGACGAGTTGAGGTGCAGAGAAACAAGTATCACCCCGATCGCAACGATCAAGAAGCCAACAAGTGTGCCGAAGAAGAGCGCCCCGGGCCGCCTCATCTGCACAAATCCACACACTCCCCCGGATGTCACCAGGATGAAATCAGTCAGCCCATCGCCAGAGAAATCCTTGAGAATTAATGCATGAGTCAGCGGCGCGGGGAGGTCGCTGGACGCCAGTAGGACACCAGAAGGAGAGATCACCACGGCCTCCTGGTCGCCGCCCGCGATGATCACCTGCTTTGGGTCATAGGCGTGCAGAGAGAAGGCTTTGTGAGTGGGGATGACAGCATTCTCTGTCATCCCTGATGGAGATGGAAGGTTGGACCATGTTGCGCCTGTCGATAGTTGCCACCTCCATGTCGCATCGTGATCAAGTAGGCCTGAAGAGTATAAGCTCACCTACGATGATAGACAAACAAGTCAGGGTATTGGAAATAAACCGCTGCTCATTATTTCAAGCTAGTGCCGTCGACTTGATGCGTCCAAAACCGCTAAAGAAATACACCGACCTCTCCCCGGCTTGTTAGAAAGATGATATTGCCATGACTTCTCTCCAGCAGAATTGGTGCCGCCACCTCTAAGTTAGATGGATCAAATGTCCTCCCAAAACTTCTTGAAAAGTCGCCATGATGGAACAGATTGAGATGGTTGTAGTGGCAGATTGAAACATTAAAAAGCTGCTCCCGCACCGGCACACCAGACATGGCAACTGCCCAACAGGGTTTCAGCACTTCCATCGACCCGCTAACAACAGTTTGCTCAGCACCATTTGCACCGACAACCTACAGAAGAATGGACCAACAGCTTTGGTAACAATTATTAATAAAAAAACATTGGCAAAGCAGTCATATCTGACACCCACATATTCATTAGGAGAATGGAGCAATGAAATTGCCCATCCCAGCGTACAGAGATTAACGCATACGAGAACTACTGAGAGATTGAGGTGAAATATATGATACTGGCTCTAAGTGTTGGAAATATGAGCAAATTACTATGAGATTTAATCCGAATAAACAGAATATAAATGATGATCACAGCAGCAGAGATTAAACTAATCATGCGAACTAGCATAGCAGATAAACATATCACATCTAGGGCACATACTAGAAACATGAATTCTACCACGATCTCGAACAGGAAGGATAGAATCACATACGGTGCAGCGGGTGCAGCACCGCCGGCGTTGATGTTGTCGCCCATATCGTCGAGGATGAGGTTGCCGAGGTCGGGGAAGAAGTCGTCGTTCGCGAAGTCGTCGCTGCCAGCAGTCGCGCGAGTGCGCTCCCCAAAAACCTGATCGCCCCTCTCCCGTACAGGATCACGAGAGGCGGGGTTCCGGAGGCCTGCTGTCCCTTCTCGCGGTGCACGCCGGAAGGAGGGGTGGAGAAGACTAGCTTGGCGGTGCAATGATCTGGAACGGTGATGAGAAACCATACGAAGCGGCGGCTAGGGTAGACGTCTGCCTGACTATATATTGCAGGCCGGGTAGATCGTGGGAGTAAACCCCACGTCCGAGTCATCACGATTCAAAAGAATCGTAAACGGTTCAGTAATTAACGCATCTGTTAATTATTAATTAATGGCTCATTAATTTTCCCATGCAGCAAAAATATAGACAACGTGCATAGCTCTGTCCTCGGCTCAATCCCGCAACCCGCGGCGCATCGTGACGAGGCGAGGCGAGGCGAGGCGAGGCGAGGCGTGGCGTGGCGAGCGAGGAGGAGCGCGCGTGTAGGTCTCCTCTTTTAATGCTCATACAAGTGGTAGAAGAGCTCACCTTATAAAGAGGTGCAACTCTCTCTCAACTTCCAAGGTGGGACTAAACTTTAGCCTCACTCACTCCACTCACATGTGTGCATGAATGGGCCAAGAGAATTTCAGAATTTTAGTTGGGCTTTGGGCCAAAGGCCTACTAGCAAAATTCCAACACTAAGTTGGGTCAGTGTGTGCTAATTCTCTCATGTCCAAATTAAATTAGGAGACCTCAAATTCCATGGTAAATATGAACTCTGATTATTTAAGGTGAAAAGATAAGGGAATGCACTTATCATGATAACATAGCACTTGTGCAAGCATTGCATATTTTTTGGCAAATCATTTATGACGAAGACAAGGCATGATTTCATGAAAAGGTAATTTACTACTTGCTAGGATAAGATGATAGCAACACAAATTACACAATAATAATACAAAGAACAAGCAATATTCAGTATCATCTATGTTCACATTACAACCGAGCACTCTTCCATCCCTCTAAGGCCATCAGTGTTTTTGGTCGTCGGATCTATAGTGGTATCAGTTTTTGGCCGTTGGATCAATCTCTGAGCGCAACAGTTTACGCGAATGGGAATGGGCCGCCGCTCCGGTAACAAAATTGGCGTTCTCTGGGCCAACCTCGGCCTTTTAGGGAAGGCGAAGCAAGCGACGCTGCACAGATTCCTCCTCTCACGGGTCGCTACCTATCCGGCGGTGTCTACCCTAGGTCCGGTCGCTGCCGCGATGATATCCCTGTAACTGAGGTGTTACGACATCTCCCGTCCGCCAGTTTCTCTTGAACTGGCACCTTGTACCAGGCAAGCCCTATCCACCTGAGATTGTCCTTCGCCTCATTTTCTTCCTCCCTTGTTGGTCTCTCAGCCCTCCGAAACCTGACGATGCTGGCGGCTACATACCTGGGGCTCTGCCATGATGTCAGAGGCGATGGCAACGTCGACAACCACGGAGGAATCTGGCACCACACCCTCCTCATCTATCAGACTGGCGTTCCTCCTTCGCAGTGACGGGTCCCCAGGAAGCAGCGACGTAGTGCGACACCTCTGCCGCCCGCACCTTCAGCTTGGCCTGATTCGGCATTGTACCCTGTTCCTGTGTAGTAGTACAAAACACGCAAGTTCAGGTAACTTTCTCTCGACGATCTTGGCCTCCCTCTCCCATGCTCTGTTCTCTCACGTGTTATTTGCAATCACTGATGTTACTGTTGATTTTTTTTTGTATCGTTTATTTATTTGTGCCGATGGATATTACAGTAAGCAGGGGTGGGCATCTAGGAAGAATGAATTGAAAAGAAACGATGCTCTGCAATTATAATCAGTAGAATGGCAGCCCCAAATTTCTACAGAAATAAAGTGAAAATGAATGATGTATTGTACCAGTAATATTCAGGGAAGTGTCTCAAAACAGTATAGTTCAATCTGAAACTGTATATTTGATGGGCCATTCAAATTTGGATTTGGTATTACAAGTGCATAACTTGCTTTTCATCTGCTTATTCAAATTTACCAAATTAAAATTCCATATGAATTCTAGACTGCATATGCTGTACAATGTTGTTCAAGAAAGGATGCTTTACATCTGAGGAGATCCCTTGATGCGAGTTAGGTGGTAAATACTAAATAGCATGGTGTTTCTTTTTACATCTGAGGAGATTACTTGACGCTAGACGGCATGTTTGTTTTGGTCCAATAATTTTTCATGTGTTTTTTTTAGAACGAAGGCTCGCGATGAGCCCGGCTTTGAATTAACAAAGCCATCAACCGGCCAGGAACTACAACACAGGAACAAGCACAACGGCCGAACGATACAAGGGAGCACCCTAGGAAGCTTACAACTCAACGCCGAAAACTAGCTCAAAACAAAAGCCCAAGCTAGTACACGCCGCCGACCACAGCAAACAAGAACCGAGAATTGCGAGCAGCATGAGCACAACGAGGACATGCAGAAACAGAGTGGAGTTGTGGACATGATCGAGTCCAAGGTTGGAGGAAATCAAGCATCTTCCTTTGCTCTCGCCGTAGAGGGACCCTTCCCTCTCGCCTTGGATCGAAAGGCGCCGCCGACGGACACGAGAGACGCTCACCCTAGAGCAGGAGAGATGCCGTCCTCGAGTCCTGGAACAGTCACAGAGCACATCCTCCTAGGACATGAGCACACCTCATCTGACACACCGAAGCAACCTAGGACACCTGAAAAACAACGGGAAAGCCACCGGGAGGAGCCACTGAAGGACGAGCAGCAAGGACATCAGGAGAGGCCGCAGAACGACGAGGAGCAGGAGTCGTCGGCCGCTGAAGAGAAACACCGGGCGTCCACGGCCAGGGACGTGCTGCTACTGCTGGGAAGAGGAACCCTATCCCCTACCGCCGGATCGCAGACGCCGTACCGCCGGAGCTGAGCTAGACACGCCACCGCCAAGGAGCACCGCACTTGAGGGGAGCGGGGACAGACTTCCCTGCGAGCCAGATCAACCACTGCCACCTAATAACCAGAGCCGCCCAAAAACTCCACCTTTGTCACCCCTCACCCGAACGCACACTCCCCAGGCGGCGCCTCCAAGGGGGGCACGACGCGTAGCTCGCCGTCACCGCCCAATCCTAGAAGGATTTTGGGCTTTCACCCGGGAGGGGAGCGGGGGTGGATAGGGTTGGGATCTCAGCTGCACCTCCAAGGAGGAAGGGCGGCGCCCAAGTGCGTCGCTGCTGCCGGGCCGGACCAGCCGACCAGTGGTTTCCCACGGTCCCAAAACCGCACCACCGGGCACCCATCCACACCAATCCGGCGACCGAAGCTGCTGGAACCGGTAAGGATGAGGGAGCTGAAGGGGAGGGGAGTCGAACCTCAGATCTGACGAGGAGGGGGATCTCCACGCCGCGGCCACCACCCGCCGCCGTCCCACCACCCGCGTGGTCGGGAACGCCGGCTAGGACCACCCACGGACGCCGCCAGCTTGGAGGGCGCCGCCGCCGCGCCAAGGGCCGCCGCCCCAGATCCGGAGTCCTCCGCCAGGAACGGAGCGAGCAGGGCCTTGCCGCCACCGTCACCGGCGACCGCGCATGGCTTGCCGGCGGCCACCTCGGGTGGCGACGAGGGGGAAGGAGGTGAGGGGTGGCGGCGCTGGGCGGAAACCCTAGTCGCCTCCCGAGTCGCCCGAGCGGACGACGCGGGGGCTGCGGGGGGGTCTCCATAATTTTTCATGTGTACCTACTGATGCTATATCTTATGCTCCTTCATATATGCATGTATCCTTAATTTTAGTTCTTTTTCCTTGAGATGACAGTGCAATTTTTTGTGGCCACTACAACGATGTATTTTTCTGATCCCATTTACTGGCAATGCAAGAGAAACAGGGATCAAGAACTGCTTATTGCTATGCTAATAGCCTAACACACTCCTTGATGGTTTGTGCTTAATTTTATCAAAAAATGCATGCTTTGCAAATTTATATCATTATTTATTGTAATTCTGCTACCCCTCTTAGATCATTATTTATTGTAATTGTGTAAATTTCTATATATAGTCTGTTCTGGTTGTGGTAAAACTTTCTCCGCGTGCTAATATGTTTTTTTTTCATGTTCCATCTTTGCAATTTTATCTGTTCATTTTTTTGTAGGTGAAATACAAACGAGATGCAGAGATAAAGGCTCAACTTTCAGGAAAAAGGCCTTGGCAAGGTACATGCTTAGTTTTGAAAGCTTATAAAACTTGGGTGTTTGATCTGATATTCTCAAACGCATGCGTCGGTTTCATCATTACCACTTAGAGACAATTTTACTTGTCCGAGTTAAAGCTATCTAGCCTTCCATTAGTGAAGATTCTAGAATTTGCTTTATATGATAGATTTTTTCAGTGCTTCAAAGTTTCAACAGGTTGTAGCGCACTCATTGTTGCGCTCAGCTATATAAGATACATATATACCAGCTTTAGG